AGGGACGCTTACCCTTGCTCTTCTCCTGAACTGCCAATAAAGTTTATGGCCCAGGCAAAGAAGGATGTTTCATTTGTTATTTCAGCCTATGGAGAAATGGGTCAGGCTTTGGCTCTGTTTAGGTTTTATTTGAACCAAAGTTCATCATGTCCTAGAAACAGGAATGGAGGGCTCTCAATGTGCTTTGATTGGAATGGTAATTCCTGTTTGTAGAAATCATTTATTTAACCTGTTCCTGTTACAACAGCCTTGTGAAATAAGCATTGCTTCCATTTTAGAGTGGTAAACTAACACTGAGAGAGGTAGAATGGTTTGCCGTACATGTAACTGCTCTAACACATGGCAAAGGTGAGATTTGAAACTGTAGTTTTTATTTCCAGATTTGTTTTCTTTCCACTCTACTCCCCTGGGGGTTGGAGTATCTGTTAAAATTTATACTGAACAATTATAAGATGCCATTGAATCAAAACAATTCTAAGAGAGTATGAGCTTGAGCTGCATGTTATAGATTATGGAACAGACTCAGAGAGGTTAAGTAACTTGTCTAATGCCACACAGCAACTACATGGCAGAGCTAAGACTAGAATCCAAGTGGCTCAATCCAAGTGGCTTTCTAGAGCTGATACCACTTGTGCACATCTTGCTGGTATTCCAGCTGCCCTCCATACGATGGCTTAAGACTGGGACTCCCGGGGGCAGTTCCTTCTGACACATTTTCCACCTAACTCAAACCGGGGTTTTGGGGTTAGGCATTCCAATTGGAGGAAGGCTGAGAGGGTGTGTCCTTTGGGGTGGTGTGTGGATGTACATGTGCACTAACACATTTATCTATTTGGGGATAGCTCTGTGTAAGCCCCTTACACCCACTAGCCCATACCTGGGCCAGAGCCTGGGATGAGACCCAGCCATGACCCAGACCTTCCACAAGCCCCCAGCTTGGCTTGCCTGGGGCCTGCCCTGGGCCAGCCGAGGAATGAAGTCCCAACTTCCTGGTACAGTTCTGCCCTTGGGTGGGTATGGCCCTGCTCCTGTGGTTTATTGCTCAGCTGCCAAGAACTAAGGCCAATTCAAGGTAAATACCAGCCCTGTAAAGAAGCCCCACTTCTCTGTAGCTGAGAGGTTCAGGCTGAATGTGCTCTAGCCCTTTGTGACAGCAGGCCTGTCTGCCCTGTGAGGCCAGGGCCAAGTGAGGCATGTGTGCCCAGACCCTGCTATAGCCACAGGAATCCTGAAGGAGGTGCTATTTCCTCCATTCTCCGTGGGGCTCACAGAGGTGGGTTAGCTTGCCTGCAGGTTATAAATGTGACTCCAGCTCCCAGTTCTTTCCTCTCTCTGCAGCAGCCCTGGCTGGGACCCTCTTCCGCTCCCAGCCCTGCTATTCTCCCTTGGTCTCCAGCACCCCTTCCCCCTGCTTCCCACCAAATTCTCAGAGAATCTTTGAGAGGGAGCCAGAAGCAGAGGCCTGGCCTCACATCCAGGCTGGGGATGCCCAGAGAACACTTGTCCCTTCTCAAGAAAGCCTCCCTTGTCACAGCTGAAACTCTCTCCCTGCCTGAGGGGCCCCTGGAATGTGGGTGGGGTGGGTCTAGGCCCACAGGTGGGGCTGGTCACCAGGTCTTGGCCTGGGTATCAGGAATGAAACCAGCCTTTGTGTGTGCATGGTGAGGGAGGAGTGGAGGAGGGGCCAGGGCAGGGCACTCTCTGTCTCTGTCCAGGAGCTGTGTCCCAGGAGACCTGGGATAGGATAGAGGGAGTGAGGTCTTTCTGTCACTGCTGGTCATCAGGGCCACTTCAGTCTGTAAAGCATTTCCTGTCAGTCATCGTGCTCCGTCTCTGTGAGTCAGGCTTGACTGGATTCATCTCCATTTTTCCTTACTGGTAGACTGAGGCTGAGAGAGAGGAAGCACTGTTTCCCAAAGCCACACACCTAGCAAATGGGAAAGGAGGGATTCAGAGAGGCATCTCTAGGCCCAGGTGGTGCACTCTGCCCTGGCATCTGCCTGGGAAACAGCGAGGTGTGGGAGGGCCCTTAGCCTCATGCCGCCTTCCCTCCCCATGTGCCTTTAGGGTTCACATAGGCCCTATGGACAGGGTCCTTGTTAATGGCCCAACTTAAAATCAGGATCCAGGCTCGGAGGGGTTGAGTCACACCTGAGGTGGAATCCAGCCCAGGTTCTTTCCACTGGGCCGGCGCAGCCTCATCCCAAGGAGGGAAGCTCCAGAGACAGTCTGTCTGGCTGCAATGGGTGAAGGTCGGAATCTGGCACAGCATCCTGGGCGGGCTGCCTGGAGCAGGGCCTGGGGCTGCAGTTGGGGCTGAGCTCCATCCTCCAAGGCTCCCACCCGGTGTTAATGAAAAGGCCCCTGCCCGCCCAGAACTAAGCTCATGGTAGCTGTCTAGCATGAAACCAGGGAGTTGCGATTGGGAGAGTGAGGGGGCAGCTGGGCCTGTGAGGTGGCTATGCTACCTAGAGGGGCTGCTTGGAGATAGGTCACGGTGCAGGAAGGGGGCTGGCTGGGGCCCAGTCGACCTCACCTGGGTGAAGGGCAAGTAATTGTTCCTTGTTAATTGCTGGGGCCACAAAGTCTGCAGAGGCTTTAATGAGCTCTGGCTGATCTGAGTTTGATTATTTTTCTTTCTGAGGAAAAGAGAATATCCTCCCATCCATGAGACAATACTGCACTGTCTGGGCCCAGAGCTTGGAGGCCCAGCTTTCTGGGAGGCCTCACTGAGGGGGGACCCCGCCACACCCACCCAGGCCTGTGGTTCCCTTCCTTACCACCCCAGCTCAGATGCAGGGATTTGGGGCTGAGGGTGAGACCCTTTTTTTCCTGTCCCCTATTTGGTTGCGGGGGTGGTCCAAGGACCTGGCTGAGTCCTGATGATGCCTCTTACCAGCTGTGCCAGCTTGCGCAAATTGCTTTACCTCTCTGAGTCCCCACGTTATTCCTCTGAAACTCAGGTGGGGGATGGTCACCCTCTGTGTTGCGAAGATCAGAGAGGGCAGTGGGTGCAAGAGTGCTTTGTACATTATAAGGTGGACAGTGGAAGGAAAGGTTATGTTACCCCAGCAAAAGTAAGAACAGGCTTCTTTGCCCCATAGGAGCTGGTTACGGAGGAGCAATGCTGTTAAGCCACCTCAGTATGCTCGTCTAAGTGGGCTCAGGCTCACAGATGGCGTTCCGATGCCCAAGGACAAAGTCCTTCCTGGTAAGGGTACTCAGAAGGCCCTGGTGTTGGATGTGAGGCCCACCATCTGGCCCCTCAGAGGATGGGGTCTCTTGAGCCTTGGGGCTTCCGTGGAACTGAAAGCTGAGAGTGCCCCTTGCCTTAAGGAATCTGAGACTGAAAAAGCAAAATGTCCGTAATTGTCAAAGCCAGGATTTGTTTTTTTTATTTTTTATTGTATTATTTTTTTGAGACAGAATCTTACTATGTCACCCTTGGTAGAGTGCTGTGGCGTCACAGTTCACAGCAGCCTCAAACTCTTGGGATTAAGCCACTCTCTTGCCTCAGCCTTCTAGTAGCTGGGACTATAGGTGCCAGCCACAATGCCCGGCTATTTTTTTGTTGCAGTTGTCATTGCTGATTTTAGTTGGCCTGGGCCGGATTTGAACCTGTCAGCCTCGGTGTATGTGGCCGGTGCCCTACCCACTGAGCTATGGGTGCCACCCCAAAGCCAGGATTTGAACCCAGGCCTGAGGAAGCCCAGTGCCCTATCCACTTCACTGTACTGCAACCAGGAATCTTCCTCCTGACTCTCCACCCTTGGATTTTCTGTAAGCCCTGGAGCTGGAGGGCCAGCCATGCCTCTAAGTGTTACCGCCCACAGGTATCAGGTGTCCTTGGGAAGTTGGGTTCTGAGCTGGTGGGCAGAGTAAAGTGCTCTCCTGAGCATCTAACTCCCCTCTCTGGCTCAGGGTCCTTCTCTGTGAAGTGGTGCCTTGGCCTTCACCATCTTTGGTGTCTTTAGCTTCCTGTCTCCTCTTTTTCCATAATACTCAGATGTGAGTGCCTTCTCCATCGGCCCCTCCCCAGCTACACAGCACTTGACAGGACAAATAGGGGGTTAATCTGGCCCTGCTAAGCAGTGACTTGCCTCTCCTTGGAGAAGACAGGGGCTTCCTGGAACTTGCCCCAGCCTTATCAGCAGAGGTTTGTCCCAACTTGTCCCAGAAGCAAGCAAGGGTTCAGCCACATGTGCAGTTGGCAGCTGGCAGGATCATCAATCAGCCCCTTGTCAGCCCTGAGCCCTCTGGGCTTTTGTGAGGGTGCCTGGACCCTGGGCTGCAGAAGCAGGAGGTGGGGGAGCAGAGGTGAGAGGAGGAGAGTCCCTTTGTGGCACTAGGGAGGGACACATGCCAGTGCCTCTGGTCACCTTAGCTGGAACTTGACTCAAGACCCCCTCTACGGTCCTCAGCCTGTCCCATGGGACCTGCATTCCAAGACCTGCAGACTCACACACAGGGCCTTTGAGCTGGAAAGCATGAAGCAGCCATGGGGTGGGGAGAATTGAGGCCGGGTTCCTGGGCTGGGGGCAGTGGGGAAGTCCAGCTGCAGGGTACAGCTGGCCCCAGGCTATTCTAACTATGCAGGCTGAAGCTTTGGTGACTATGCTGTGAATAGAATTTGCTCCCTGTTGCTCTTTCTTTTCTCCTGGAGTGGAGCGATGAACCTGTAATCCAAGTGTTAAAACCATGGCCCAGGGCAAAACACCATTAATTATGAATCATCTCTTTTGTTGCATTGAAAAAAAAAGAAAAGAAAAACTTCACACGAGCCACATTGAGGTGTTCAGGCAGCTGTGTTTGTCAGGAAGGCAGAGGAGTTGGCTCCACTCTGGGGGAGGAGACAAGGTCCCACAGGCCCCTCTGAGGGGTATATAAGAAGCCCAGGCAGGGGGTGACAGGCGCTGTACTCTGCTTGAGCCCAGCCTGGTACTGCCTGCCAGAGAGAGTCTCTTGTGCCTGCTGAGAAGGCAGTCTCTGGCTGCCTGACCATGACCACCACATTTCTGCAAACTTCTTCCTCCTCCTTTGGCGGGGGCTCTACCCGAGGGGGTTCCCTCAGGGCTGGGGGAGGCGGCTTTGGTGGCGGGAGCCTGTATGGGGGAGGTGGAAGCCGCAGTATCTCAGCTTCCTCTGCCAGGTTTGTGTCTGCAGGGTCAGGAGCGGGGTATGGGAGCATGATGAGCTGTGGCTTTGGTGGAGGGGCAGGGAGCGGCTTTGGAGGTGGGAGCGGCTTTGGAGGTGGCTTTGGTGGGGGTTTTGGTGGTGGCGATGGCGGTCTCCTCTCTGGCAATGAGAAGGCCACCATGCAGAACCTCAATGACCGCCTGGCCTCCTACCTGGACAAGGTGCGTGCCCTGGAGGAGGCCAACGCCGAACTGGAGGTGAAGATCCGTGACTGGTACCAGAAGCAGGCGCCCACCAGCCCGGAGCGTGACTACAGCCCCTACTTCAAGACCATAGAAGAGCTCCGGGACAAGGTAAGTCCTTCAGTGTCAAAGACGGGGGAGCAGGTGGCTGGTGCCCTTCGTGCATCTCTAACGTAAGGTACCAGTGTTACTGCTGACTCAGGGAAATCCTTTCTGCCCAGGCAGTGACTGTCTGGTGTGTAACCTCGGCAAACTTGGAATCCACCTTCTTTCCGGGTGCAGCTGTAGCACCATCTGCTCAGCCTGGCAGTGCCGGGGAAGGGAGGGATGCTGGGAATCTTAGGACCAATAAAGGCACGGGGGGTGGGGGGGCATGTAAAGAGCAACTCGCCCTCCTCACCCCATGTACCCTGCAGGGTTCTGCATAAATTCCTCTTTTACCTCTTCTAAGAGCCCTAAATGCCAGGACCTCTTGCCGTTCCCTGTGAGGGTGTCTTTAGTGTCAAAGGATCATTAGGACTTCGGAGACCTGGGCACTTGTTACACGTTCTGCTTCACACTCACTCACCTTTTCCCTCCCTGGGACTGGGGGTCTAGTCTGTAAAATGTCTTGTTTAGCTGCCCTCCAGGTTCCCACTGGCTGGAACGTTCTGTAGATCCACAGCTGTGTCCAAGGTGTGCAGGAAGCAGTGGTCATGGGTGGTAGTTCACAGTGGGGCTGGTGGGGTATCTGTGAAGGGGATATTGTCAGAGCTGAATACGCCCCACCCTGCTACACTCCAGGCCAGCCAGTTTCCATACAGGATCCCCTGCCCATACTGATTCCCTGGCCCTTCATGCCCTGAAGGTTTCCCAGGAGTGTGGGAGGGGACAGACCAGGTAATGGGCATTCCAGGTGAGGCTGCACTCTGCCCGTCCTTGAGGCCCTGTGGGTCCATTGCTGGTGTCAGAGGGGAGACTGATGGTGAGGGCCCAGCCTTGGGTGCAGAGCCAAAAGAGGAGGGAGGAAGTGGGATAGCTGTGTTCTCCAGATACCAACTCCGGTTTCCTACAGATCCTGGCTGCCACCATTGACAACTCCCGTGTCATCCTGGAGATCGACAACGCCAGGCTAGCTGCAGATGACTTCAGGCTTAAGTGCGTGCCAGCTTCCCACTTCCCTTCCTATGTTGTCCCCTCCCCCTGGCTGTTCTCTCTCAGGGCTAAAGCAGCCTTGGCCTTACCCTTCTCACTTCTCAGGTACGAGCATGAGCTGACTCTGCGCCAGAGCGTGGAGGCTGACATCAATGGCCTGCGTCGGGTGCTGGATGAATTGACCCTGGCCAGGACTGACCTGGAGATGCAGATTGAGAGCCTGAACGAGGAACTGGCCTACCTGAAGAAGAACCATGAGGAGGTGGGGGCAGGCAGGCACTGGGGCTAGGGGGCGGCAATGGGGCTGCTGGTGTCTCCTTATGGTTGGCAAGGGGGCTTGTGGTTGAGAAATGCACCCCCACCAAAACAAGGATCTTTGTGGAGAGGAAAGGGCACTGTCCTCTGGAGGCCCAGACCTGTGGCCAGGCCAGCTGGCCAGTGTGAATGATCTTTCTGGTTAGCTTTGTGAGCTCACAACCAGGGTCCTGGGGTCTTGGGTCCTCTCTTTGTAGGACCTGGAGCAGATGTGAGGTACGGGACCTGAAGGATCCATATGATCAGACCTTTCCATGTGCAGTGGGGAATAGAGGGTGGCTGCCTTGTGTGTCAAAGTGAGAGTTAGGCATGGAGCCAAGATTGGCCTGTGGGTTGCCACTCTCGGCTCTCTCTTCTGCCCTCTGTCTCCACACGGTTCCTCCCACCCTGCAGGAGATGAAGGAGTTCAGCAGCCAGCTGGCTGGCCAGGTCAATGTGGAAATGGATGCAGCACCAGGCGTGGACCTGACCCGCGAGCTGGCGGGGATGAGGGAGCAGTACGAGGCTTTGGCAGAGAAGAACCGCCGGGACGCTGAGGCCTGGTTCTTCAGCAAGGTTGGTCTGACCTTCTGCCTGCCCCACTCCTGAGTCTCTGAGGAGGCCAAAGCTCATTTCTCTTGCATGTGACCCACAGACTGAGGAGCTGAACAAGGAGGTGGCCTCCAACACGGAAATGATCCAGACCAGCAAGACGGAGATCACAGAACTGAGACGCACCCTGCAGGGGCTGGAGATTGAGCTGCAGTCCCAGCTCAGCATGGTATGGCCCCCTACACCCCACACCAGCCTTGAATGCGACAGACGATCCCACCTTCCACGGCTGGTTAAGCCTTGGAGTTCTCAAGCTTCCTCCGAGATGGTTCCTTGAACTCCATTCAAACCCTCTTCACCCCCATGGCTTTGGTGGGTTCCTCCCCAGTATGACATGTCCCTGGATCTGTCACCCCGCCAGAAAGCCGGGCTGGAGAACTCACTGGCGGAGACAGAGTGCCGCTATGCCACGCAGCTGCAGCAGATCCAGGGGCTCATTGGCAGCATTGAGGCCCAGCTGAGCGAGCTCCGGTGTGAGATGGAGGCTCAGAACCAGGAATACAAGATGCTGCTGGACATCAAGACACGGCTGGAGCAGGAGATCGCCACCTACCGCAGCCTGCTCGAGGGCCAGGACGCCAAGTAGGCTCATGGGCACAAGAAGAGGGATGAGAGGGTCTGAGTGTGGCTGCGGCACAGGCTCCCCCTAAGGGGATTGCAGGGTTTCTCCCAAGCAGCTGCAAGGGACCATGAAGAGAACCGAGCAAGGAGTGAGGGTCTCTACTCTGCCCTGGTCTTTAGCTGTTGCCTTGGGTGGGTCATTTCTCCTCTCTGGCCCTGTGTTTCTTCTGTAAACGGCTGAGGCTGGGCTAGTGGTCTCTAAGATCTAAGCTCGTTCTGTTCTCTGCATGAAGTAGATGGTGTGTTCTTATAGATCAGAATCTGTCTGCTTGGGTGGGAGCAGGCGTGGATGGGCTATCAGGGTACGCAGCTTCTAGAGGAGCTGGGTGTAGAGGTGGCAGTGGTGGGACTGTTGGAGACGACTGTGTCATTGTCCACGTGAGCTTTCTAAAGGAAGACCGGACCTTTTGCCCTTTGCTAACATCTGCTTCCCCTTCTCTTTCAGGATGGCTGGCATTGGCATCCCGGGAGGTAGGACGGCTTCACTCTTCTGGTGTGGGGTGGGCGTAGGGGTAGGGGTAGCTGTGGAAGCCACCACTCCCCTTGGATGAGGGAGGAGAAAGAGACCAAACTTCCCAGTGGGGCGGGAACACCCCCATTCCAGCGGATACTCCTTCCACAGGCTGAGAAGGCTGTGTGCAGGGCTTGTCTCTCCCCCAGGCCCATCTTTATACACTTCCCGTAAGAAGCCCAGGCCACTCCCTGACGCTGTTCTCCCCGCCTGAGCTACCTGCCACGTCCCCTGTCCATCTCTTTGATGAGTAATTCAACACCAAACCTCTTGGCAGCTCTTGAAGGATTGACCAGTGTCCATTCCCAGGGGTGCTATCCAGTTTTCCCAGAGCCTGGGCAAGGTCTTGCTACCTTGGGAGAGAGAGGGGAGGTTCCCCCACTCCATAGCTTGCCCCTTTCCTTCCTAGCAGCTGCTTTGGGAAGTGGCGGTGGCAGCAGCAGCAGCAATTTGCACATCAAAATCGAGGAGTCTGTGGATGGAAGGAAGCTTTCTTCCCGCCAGAGAGAAACCTAAGTGCCCAGTGCACACTAGGAGAAATGTCGCTTGCCACTCCCACCCTCCCCAGGCTGAGTGGAGGATGGGCCAGTGGGGCTGGGCAAGGAGGTTCCTGTTCCTGTTCCTGCCTACAGAGAGCGACCAGCTGAAGAGGGTCCCTCCACCTCCTAGTTCCAGGCTTTGCACGGTCCTCTTTCTCCTCTCTCCCCTCCCCACCTGCTGAGAAGCAGCTGCATTATATAACAAGTTCATTTGTGCTGTGTGGAGTCTGTTCATGCAATAAAGAATTGCCTTTCCTTTTGCAAACATCTCTTGTCTAGTTTTTCTTGATGGGGTCCAGGTTGGACTTTTCTCTGCATGGTCAGAATTCATTCTTTGGGGCACCCAGGGTGCTGGTGCCGGAAACCCATTTTGCTCAGGTGACTTGCTCTTCTGTCTGCCCTCACAGGGTAAAGTGGGAGTAGGGGGGTTCCCTAAGAGCAGTATGTGCACCTAGCACAGAACTATCTCAATGTATCTGCTAATCATTTACTTAGTGATTGATGGCACTGATTGTATGAGTTTGCCACTGGGTGGCTGGCATGATTTTAGGCACACTTACATAGGTGGTCAGGATTTATTATTCCCATCTTACAGATGAGGACACTGAAGTCAGAGAGAAGAGTGACTTGCCCGGGCCTCGTAGATGAACAACAGGAAGCAGGAATGGGCCTAGGGACTCTAACACCAGGGTCCCAAGCCCCTTCACAAGCTATTGCTAATACCCTCTCAAATTTCCCCTCCTTTCTGGACAGGCACTCCTGACCACCATCGCTAAACCTTGCAAAGCTGACCCCCAGCCCCCTGAAGCCAACTACCCTGATTTCCTGAAACTTAAGTCCAAAGCAACATGACCCCCTCTGGCCAGCCTTGACCAAATCCCACCCCTGTTCCGGGTCCCCAGCCTAGGCCTGTTAGAGCAGCAGCATCGATGCACACCTGGTTTGTTACCTCTGATCTGGGGCTGGATCCTCGGAGCTCTGGGATTTAAAGCCTGGAACAGAAGCAGAAATGAGGAAGAGGAAGCAGAGCACTCCAGTGTGGAGGCTGGGCTCCCTCAAGCCCTGGGGTGAGGATTGGGGTGGGGAGTGAGAACCGGTTCCTTAGTCCCACTGGGAAGGGCAGGTTGGAGGTGTCTCTGTTCTTCAAACAATCTGGTCTTTTGAGAGAAGAGCCAAGTGCTTGGAGAGGGTCCTCATGTGTCTTGCTGGGCAAAGCCCCTTCCCCACTAACTTGGTTGGAGAGAAGGTGATGCTGCTCTTTCTGGGGGAGATTTAATCAAGAATCGTCTCCTGACAGCACACGGCACCTGGGCTTTCCTAGGGCTGCAGGAAGGACATGAATTTATTGGGTGTCTACAATATGCCAGGCCCTGGGCAGGGCATTCTGTGACCGCATCTTGTTAACTCCCGACTGCTCTGTGAAGTCAGCACCAGCCTTTAGCATCAGTTTCAGAGAAGAAAACGGTAGGCATGGAGAAGTTAAGTAACTTGAAGGAGGTCACAAGCTAGGAAATGGCAAAGCTGGGTCTGGGGCTGGTCTCCGATCTGAGGCCCTTGCTTTTCCCTTGACTTCATGAGGTAATAGAAGCCAGGACACTTTTCTTAAGAGGGCATGCTAATCTGAAACTCATTTTGTACCCTCTATGGGCAGGTCATATGGCCACTAGTGTCAAAAAAGATAGTCCTGGCTGGGTGTAGTGGCTCATGCCTGTCATCCTACCTCTCCGGGAGGCTGAGGCTGGAGGATCACTTGAGCTCAGGAGTTCGAGACCAGCCTGAGTAAGAGTAAGACCCCCATCTCTTCTAAAAATAGAAAAGCTAGCTGGGGCATTGTAGCAGGTACCTGTAGTCCCAGCTACTCGGGAGACTGAAGCAAGAGGTTTGCTTAAACCTAAGAGCTTGAGGTTAGCTATCATGCCAGGAGCACTCTACCTAGGGTGACAGAGTAAGACTCAGTCTCAAGTCAAAAAAAAAAAAAAAAAAGAATGTCCTCACGTCTAACCTTAGTCTCTCATGCTGAGCTTTAAGTTCACACTGAAGCCCAAATCATCAGCTGCCTTGTTGCCCTGGGGACATGCCAGGCTCACTCTTAAGCTCAAGTTTGTGCAGGAAGCTTGTGGCTGGGCTGCTGCCTCTGCTTCATTGGCCTTTGGGCCTCTGTTGAGAGGTCTCGGGCCTGCCAAGCAGCCAGCAACCTATCTGTAAATGGAGTGGAGAGGCAGAGTGAGGCTCAGCCTGTGGGCCACATCTCCTGTGCCTTCTCTCGGGGCCAGCCCCCACATTGTGGGCAGGAGGGCAATCTGCTTGTGTCTCCCTGGGGTCTCTATTTCTGCTCTCATGGGATCCCAGGAGGGGCTGTCAGAGAAATCCTTGGAATGTGCCAAGTCCTGTGCCCCGCCTGACCCTGGATTGAAACACCGGCTCCCAGGGATATCTTATGCCTGTTGAGCCCTTAAATAGTCTATGGGCAGGGGTGGTGCATTTGTGACTGCCCTGGGCTGAGCTTGAGCTTTGTTTGCAGCCAATGTGGGAAGCAGGCAGTAGGGGGTGTCCCCTCCCTTCTCCCCACAAAGAGAGGGTAGCTCTGAGAGATTAGGGCCTTGGGTGTGTCTTGTGCTCAGGTTGGGCTTCCCAGAGCAGGCATGGGACATTCCTGCCACTATTTCTCTGAGGACTGTGGCTGATCCCTCCTCTCTCTGGGTCTCAGTTTCCCTATCTGTAAATTGGAAGTCTGGTTGGACAAGTTGATCGCTAAGGTCTCTATGAGATGGTCTGTATTTGGGACCTCCGGGGGGAGCCTGGACTGTGAGATCTGTGACAGCAGGGACCATGTCCACTCTATTCACTGCTAAATCCTCAGCATGGGTTCTGACCATGTATTTGTAAAATTAATGCATGAACTTTCTTCTCCTTTGCTTTTTCCGGCTTAGACATGGCTCTGAATATTCACTAGTGGGAACGTGCCCACCTGGTGGTCGGTCACATGTTTCTCTATGACAGTGGAAGAGAAAAGAAGGACAGTTTTTCATCTGAGATTTGGATCTGGGGTGACACCACTCCTGTTTGCCATTCCTTCCCACCTAAAGGCAGCAGACAGAATGTCCCTGAAACAGCTTCTCAGGCATTTAACAAGGGCTTACCTATGCTGAGAGCAGAATGTGGAGATATGTCTGACAAAGATCCTATACCCAGAGAACTTAAGGTGGAGCAGGAGAAATAAAATGGGAAGGCCACCAACTGTCATTTGTCCAGTTGCTGTGAGCAAAGAAATGTGTCAGTGCCGGGTGGAGGCACAGAAGAATTCTTGGACAGGTCACTCACCAAGGGTGAGCTTGCATTTCCTCATGTATAAAAGGGAGGCCATGGCAACCTTCCACCTGCCCAGGGCCTCCCACATCTCAGGTATTTGAGAAGCCTCAAATACTCACCTGAAGCTTATTCTCTAATGGCAGACACAGAGGCACTGAGAAGTTGAGTGACTTTCCTGAGGTCATCAATCTAGGTGGTTGCACATGGAGGATTGAAAAATTCTGGTCTGCCTTGTCTAAAGCCTTTGGTGACTTAGCTGAGTTTCTGGACAGCCTGGGTGATACAAAGGGATTTTAGAAAGCTGGGTGCTACAGAAATGCACAGGCCTGAGCATTGATGCAAGTCTGGAAGGACTTCTCGGTGTTGAGTTTCCCAGAGGGACTGGGTGACTGTCTGGGGCTCCCTGTGGGGAGCCTTGAGACCATCTGGGAGGTGAATCAGCCATGCTGGGTTCTGGTCCCTTGGTGCCCTGAAACAGAGGGAGAAAGGGGAGGTGTCTGATTCCAACAAGGAACTCTAGGTGAGGATCAGGGTTTAGGCCTCAGCTCTGCAGATGAACAATCTGATGACTGTGGACAAATCTTTGTGAACCAGAGATTCAGAAAGGCAACCAGCTGAAGGCAACTTAGAAATCATTTCAAGGTGAGGCCAGCAGTGAACCTGGAGAGCAGGGAGTCATTTTTTTTTTTTTTCTTGTTTTCACGATCCTGAGCTTCAGTGTTCTGGGCCTCAGTTTCCACACATGTGACATGAGAGCGTTGGATGAGAAAGTTCCTACAGTTCTGTGCTGAGTAAGGACTTCCACAGTCCCCTGAGCCTTGGAGCTCAGACTCGGGACAGACAGGCTGACCTGTCAGGCCATCAGCTGCACAGGCCTAGCTAGCCACTGTGGTAAGGATCATCCAGTGGCCCACGTTGGGGTGACAGGTTGGCTTGTGAAAGGGAACAGCTGAAGCAGATGTCCTTGTTTGCATGAGGATGGAATTAGTCCTGGCCTGAAAGCTTTGCCATTGACACAGCCATGCTTTCTAGTTTGGGCAAGGTATTTAATCTCTCTAGACCTCAGTTTCCTCACCTGAAAAGAGGGTATGATGGGAATAGTTGGAGATGAGATCAGGCACGTGAAAGTGTGTTCTTGGAGCCTCTGATCGGAGACGCAGGGAGAAGGAACTGCAGACGGGATGATTGATTTGAAGGGAGGCCGAGACTCCCTCTGGTCCGCGGCCTGGCTGAACTTTACTGATTATCTTATATACTTTCAAACATTCAGTAAGAATTTAACACATATACAAAGAAGTGAAGTAACATTAGGAAGCTACCATTTAAGATTACAAATCAGTGTGAAGGCTGAGGAACACATATACAATTGATTTTGTTTAGAGTAAAAATATAAAGCAGACTGGCTGTCTGTCCTTGCTAGCCCAAACTGAAACTAGGGATTATAATGTTAATGAAGGGGGAAGACAGAGAACAGAACCCAATGCTTGAAGAAGACCGGTTTGTTCACTCCCAGCTGTGAGACCCCCCACCCCATTCATATTTCTGCATATCTATAGGCAGGTACAGAAGATGATCTTCAAAGAAATGTTTCTCAGAATCAATCTCCTGGGGGAGCACATTGAAGCGAACTGCCATAAGGGGTGCTTATTTCCTACAGGCACGTAGAGTGTTCACATAGTCTTTGACAAATGTCAGCAGGTGTTATTTTGTTATCTTTTAGCTCATATAGGACGTGAATATAGGAGAGACAAAGTGCTTTTCCTTCTTCCCTATCACATGCAACTTCCCTATCATACTTCTATGACCCTACACCAAGCAATTCTCTGACCAACTGTGTGTTCTACAAGCCAATTCACTTCTGACACTACCTGGAGTTAGCACAGACCCCATATATTAGGGAGAGGCTCAGTCCCACAAGGCTGCCCCTCATTTGAGATGCCAATCACAAGCGTCAGGTCCCTAGGTTGCCCAGAGCTTCTGTCTGACTTGGCTGTGAATCACAGGCTCCCATGACCTCCTTCTTGGGTTTGCTAATTTGGTAGAGCAGTTCACAGAACCCAGGGAAGCAGTGTACTTCTTGTTATCAATTTATTACAAGGGGTATTTTAAAGGACACAAATGAGCAGCCAGATGAAGAGACACACGGCAAGGTTCAGAAGTGTCCTGAGTATAGGGGCTTCTGTTCCCACGGAGTTAGGGTACACCACCCCCTGACATGTGGATGTGTTCTTGTTCACCAACACAAGGCTCTCGGACCCCTTATTTCAGGGATGTGCACAGAGGCTCATGTTAATCAATTATTAACTCAAGGTCCAGCCCCTCTCCTCTTCTCTGAGGAGGGGATGTGTGGCTGAATGCATTCCTGGTGATCAGCCCCCATCCGCGACCCCACCAGGCATCATGTCATTAGAACAGAAGATGCTCTGGTCACCAGGAGATTCCAAGAGATTAGAAGTTCTGTGTCAGAAACTGAGCTCAAAGACCAAATGTTAGAATAAAAGATGCTCCTAGAATCCTTATCACTAGTAACTTCCTAACCCTAGTAACTTCCAAGGGTTTTAGGAACATTCAAAGATCATGCATCTGAGTTCACGGCAAGACTGCCAAGACACCGTTGGCATAGAGAGAGCCAGAGGCCAGATTTAAATCTTGACTCCATGGTGTCCTTGGGCAAGTGACTTGCCCTTCCTGAACCTTAGCTACCTCATCTATAAAATGTGGCTAATAAAAACATCCTCCTGTTGTAAGACTCGGTGACAATGTGTTAGTGTTGCCTGGTTTGCAGGCTTCCCTTTGCCTCCCTTGAAACGCTACTGGGGAGCAATTGGTCTTTTGGTGTTATTTTGCCAAAAAACAAAGCAGAAAGCCTCAGCGAAGCTACCAGTGCTGTGGCTCTAGCCCTGTGCTGCCTCCACCGGGACCCAGGTGGGGAGAGGGGAACTGCGTCCCTGGGTCTCTGCTCCACTTCCTCCAGGAGGTCTTTGCGTGTATCTCCAGCCCCATAGGCCCTGGGGTTTGCCTCATGTTGGAGGAAGGTTTTCTTGTGTCAAGATACCAAGAGTCCCTACGCAGAGGGGAGGGGCTGTGCCATGACCCTGCAAGGGAAGCATGCCACGGCCACCCCTGTTTGTCCTATTGGGGCTTTGGAGGATCTGCAGCATTGTTACTCTAAGAGGCGTTGGCTGGAACCTGCTCTTCAGCCCCAGGAGGACCGGGGCATTAGCACTCTGGGCCTGGCAGGTTCCATTAATCACCTTGTTGTTAGTTTTGATCCTACTTTGGGCTGAATCACCCTCTTTTCAGAGAGAGAGCTGAGCCATCAGCTCAGCCAGGAGGGCTGGGCAGGGGCAGAGGTCAACCTGGATCCCTGGCCCTGCTGGGGGGTTTGAGCACCAGCAGTATGCCCGGCTCTCTCCCTGGTGCAGGTGTCTGCTGGGTGAGACACAGGCCTGCTTCCCACCCCCAGAAGACAAAGGGCGAGAAAGCCCTGACTCAGATCTTTCTTTGCTGGTCTTGCTGAATCAGTGAAGGGTTTCTAGGATAACCTCATGTCTATGCCACCCCAGCCCCTGGCCTGGTGATGCTCATGGCTCTAAGAGGCCATCCACAGTAGCCCTGGCCCCCTCGGTGAGTGGGGCCTGAGAGGCCCAGGCCAGGGACCTCCATTTTCAGGCCTGGAATTTTCTCTTTCTACACTGGGCTTTGAGAGGCCACCTCAAGGCCTTTTTTTCCAGCCTGAATGGTGAGGCCGCTTCACTACACAGCCCTTTCTCAGCACGTCCCAGTGTCCTCAGCAGTGTGCCCCAGGCCCTGGGACACATCCTCCTATGGGGCCTTTTAGTCAATACCCACACGCTGAGACAGACCTTATGTGACTGGGGTGGTAGGAAGGGCCCTGAGTAGGTTAGCACAAGACCTTCCCTCTGAACATGGCTGTGGGGCTGAGGAGGTTAGTACCATGGAATGATTAAACCACGGGTCACACTGATCTAGGGCATCTCAACCTTGATGCTATTGCCATATGGGGCCGATAATTTTTTGCTGTGGGGGCTGTCCTATGCATTGTAGGATGTTCAGCAGTGTCCCCAGATGACCAAAAATGTCTTCAGACATTGTTAAATGTCCCTTCAGAAGCACAGTAGCCCCTAGCTGAGAACCCCTGAACAGGTCTATGGTGACAAAAGTTGGAAGTCAGTGAGTAACTGACCGCAAAAGGTACAGGAGCTTTAGGGAGTGCTGGGAATGTCCTGGGTGTTGGTTCTACCAAGCTGGATGCATGATTTATACATTTTACAGTATGAAGAATATACTTGAAAATGAACCTTAGTGTCAGATAGAACTGGATTTGGGTTTCAGCCATAGAACCCTGAAGACTGATTTTCCTCATGCGTGAAACAAAGACCATAACCTACTCAGGGGGCTGTGGCAGAGATGAAATAAGATAGTAAGTGTCGGGTGCTCAGCCCAGGGCCTGCCTACGGTCGGGGCCCTGGGAATATTAGGTGGGAATATCATAACGTGCAAGGCTGCTTCTTTTTTCTGGGCCTGTTTCCCCAGCTGTGCCTGGTGGTCCTGAAGACCCCAGAAGGTCCCTGTCCCTCTGTCTTTTTCTGATGGTCTTGGGGCCATTTCTTTCTTGGTCTCAACACTTTCAAAGAAATTTGTTCTATAAGACCAAGCAGTGTGTCACCAGAGTTGTTGGGAGTGCTGGAGTAGATGATGCACTAAGAAGAATCCAGAACATGGTCAGAAGTTTTAGAGAGAAAAGAAAGGGAGGTCGCGGGCTGCGGTGATTTTGCAAATACAGGGCCACTTTGGCCCTCATAGTAGCTCTCTGGCAGACCTTTGCAGTTCAGTCCCCGTCCTAATGCTGGGTGGGGCTGAGAGCCTGCGGAGTGAGCTCCTTAAGCACAGAGGTGAAACAGAATGCAGTTGTCAAAAGGGTAGTCTCAGGCAGAACGCTGTCCCTCTGAATCATCTCTTTTGTTAAGGATTAAAAAAATGCCACCCCCAAAAGGCACAACCCACCCTGGAGAGCAGAGGTAACTGGGCTTGTGGGAATCAGAAGTGCAGTTGGCACCAAGTCAGAAGGTGGGGAAGGGAGGATAGAAGATGTCCAGCCCCAGAGGAGGGTGTATAAAAGGCACCCACTCTGGGGAAGAGCCACAGTCCTCAGCCCGGGCCAAGCCAAGCTTCTCTGTGCACCTGCTCTCTGCTCTCAATCCCGCTCTCACCATGAGTGTTCGCCTGCAGAGTTCCTCCGCCAGCTATGGAGGTGGTTTTGGTGGTGGCTCTTGCCAGCTGGGGGGAGGCCGTGGTGTCTCCACCTGTTCAACCCGGTTTGTCTCTGGGGGCTCTGCTGGGGGATACGGGGGTGGCATGAGCTGTGGCTTTGGTGGAGGGGCTGGTAGTGGCTTTGGGGGTGGCTTCGGAGGTGGCTTTGGTGGGGGCTTTGGCGGTGGCTTTGGTGACTTTGGTGGTGGCAGTGGTGGCCTCCTCTCTGGCAATGAGAAAATCACCATGCAGAACCTCAACGACCGCCTGGCCTCCTACCTGGACAAGGTGCGTGCCCTGGAGGAGGCCAACGCCGAGCTGGAGGTGAAGATCCGTGACTGGTACCAGAAGCAGGCCCCCACCAGCCCCGAGCGTGACTACAGCCCCTACTTCAAGACCATAGAAGAGCTCCGGGCCAAGGTGAGCTAAGGGTCCTCAGTGCAGGGCAGAGCCACAGAGGCCAGGAAGCACAGCATCGCAGGAAGCAGGTGCAGATGGAAGTCACACCCTGCTTCTAGGGGAAAATTCTAATTTTTCACCACCAGCACCTCTGATCAATGGGCTTTCTCATGCCTCAGTGCCCCCAGGTGCATTCTCTCCCATCATTCACTTTTATTGTTGTCATTACTCATGTCAAAAGCTTTTATTGCTTCCCAAACAGTTAGCTTAGTAGTGACTCCATCTCTATAATCCTAACTCACCAAGTTATCTGGAAACATGACAGTTTTAAAAGCCTTGAAGAATGACCAAAATCAACAGAGAAAGGAGACATGTTCATTCATTGCTCTGGGAATAACTGTTTATTTTGTAGGGGACTCATTGAAATTGTTATTCCCAACTGGCAGTGGCAGAGGAAGGGAGGCAGAAGCTGGAGCAGCCCAGACCCTGGATCCCTTCCCTGTCAGATACCAGCCCAGGTTGAGGCCAGCTCTGTAGTGTGGGTTTTAAGTGCTGTGGGATACAAAAGTTGGGACAAGAGATACAGATGGAGAGGAAATTTGTTGGATTTCCCCTATGGTCAGCTGGGAGGAATCCCCCCCTCCAGTGACGTTGCCATGGAATGTGGAGCCAAGCCGAGTCCTGACATCCAGAGGAAGGTTCTCAGACTGGGGCCCCCCAGGGTTGCTGGTCTGAGGCTGCCAAGACATGACTAACCCAGGATGTTCTCAGCCATCATTCCTCTGAAATGCATGCCCTGGATCTTCCCCAATGTGGCCACACACAGAATGCTGGAGTGATGGGACAGGCTAAGCAGCCCCACACCCACTGCATAGGGAAGGGCCTTGTCCTGGCTCACAGGACAGGGAAGAGGCAGGGTCCCATGAGAACCGGTCCTCCTTCCAGGTGTATGGACCCCACCCCAGAGGTCACCTTCTTCTGTATTTTGTAGATCCTGGCTGCCACCATTGACAACAACCGAGTCATCCTGGAGATTGACAACGCCAGGCTGGCTGCAGATGACTTCAGGCTCAAGTGGGTTTGTTTCCTTCATTCCCCTTTCCCAGCAGTGTCTTAGTTTAGCCCCATGCTCATATGGTCAATGAAATCGGAGCATCCCAAGAATGAAGGCCTTGGAGAAGTAGCAGAGCCCAGTGCAGAGGTAGTGGGAGGGTCTATTAGCATTTTTTTTTAATAACTATTTTAGGTATGAGAATGAGTTGACCCTGCGCCAGAGTGTGGAGGCCGACATCAACGGCCTGCGCCGGGTGCTGGATGAGCTGACCATGTCTAAGGCTGACCTGGAGATGCAGATTGAAAGCCTGAACGAGGAGTTGGCCTACATGAAGAAGAACCATGAGGAGGTGAGAGGGGTCGTAGCCTTGCCATAGGCCAAGGCACCTCCAGGGAGAGGGGAGAGCTCTCTGCTGCCGCTGGGCTTAGCTCTCCCCCATGGGACCTGGAAGGGCTTTCCAGAACACTACTAGCTCTCAGAGCCAAGGAAGGGGAGGACGAGGAGCTTCACATGGCTTCCTTTCCCATCCCCACAGGAGATGAAGGAATTCAGCAAACAGGTGGTAGGCAAGGTCGAAGTGGAGATGGATGCCACCCCAGGCATTGACCTGACCCGCGTGTTGGCAGAGATGAGGGAGCAATACGAGGCCCTGGCAGAGAGGAACCGCCGGGACGCAGAAGAGTGGTTCCACAGCAAGGTGCCAGCCCTCTCACTCCCGCAGCCAGCCAGACACACGTAGTCCCTTCTAGCTGAGTTCTCCCATCACCTTCTTCCTACTTGAATTTCAGAGTGCAGAGTTGAACAAGGAGGTCACAACCAATGCTGCCATGATTCAGACCAGCAAGACAGAGATCACGGAGCTCAGGCGCACACTCCAGGGCCTGGAGATCGAGCTGCAGTCTCAGCTGAGCATGGTACACCTGTGGCCCTGCCTGGCGGGGCCCACCTCTTCTAGTCTCCCTCTGGCACGACTTGCCCCATAACTTCTTCCTTGTCACCCCACCAGAAAGCTGGGCTGGAGAGCTCGCTGGCAGAGACAGAGTGCCGCTACGCCCTGCAGCTACAGCAGATCCAGGGGCTCATCAGCAGCATCGAGACCCAGCTGAGCGAGCTCCGCAGTGAGATGGAGTGTCAGAACCAGGAGTACAAGATGCTGCTGGACATCAAGACGCGTCTGGAGCAGGAGATCGCCACCTACCGCAGCCTGCTGGAGGGCCAGGATGCCAAGTAGGTTCTCACCAGTCTCCCTCCAGGGACTGTGGCCACCAGGCCCTAGAGAGCAGAGAGAAGACCTTTCCTTGCCTGAGCTTAAACAAGAAAGTTTGGACCAGAATGCCCCTTTTTCCTGGATCAGGCTGTGGGCACATTTTCATCTTTCTGTTTCAGGCCTCTGAATTGGACTGGTAGGAATAGGAACCATGGAAGGAATATCTAATCTTGGAAAAGAAAAGAGGTTGGATTCAGCTCAGCCAAACAAAGCTATTAATAAGCTGATCTAACTACCTTCAGGCCATTTGTAGAGATCAGACCAGGCCTCCTTGTGTGAAGGTTGGGGGCCGAGGGCTCAGTGAACCAGAGGGAGGACAAAGCTCCTGGCAATGTGCCAATGATCTCTCCTTTTGAGGCCTCTCAGATAGAGGGACAGACAGGCAGACAGACAGGTCTGACGGGTAATTGATGGTGCTGCTCTTGAACTGGGGGCACAGCTGAGTGAGAGTGCAACTCAGGGCTCCTGGCCTTGGTTACCCCCTGCTCATGGTTGCCTCTCTCCTCTCTCCTCTCTCCCAGGATGACTGGCTTCCCTTCCACAGGAGGTAAGAAAACAGCCCCATGGTGAGGTGGAGCTAGGCTCACTACCCCTCTGGTAGGGGCGGTGGGGGGGGGCGCCCAGGAGAGGCAGTACTGGGAGGGAGGGAGCTGGGTGGAGGTGGTCATTTACTCGTCTATTTTTGTGCCCCATAGAGCCACTGGGCTGTCTTGGAGAGAGCCATCTTTGGGGACAATAGAGTCCCCCAAAGTGCAACACCTGACTAATTAGGAGTTCATGAGTCTTGGGGGACCCTCACCTGGGCCTTGGTGGGTCTTATCCAGCCTGAGCATCTCTCCTCTTCTCCGTTTCCCAGGAAACCAAGGCAGCACCGTTAGTGGTTCTGCTCGCCGCACTTCCGACCAAGGTGGCACCTCCGTTAACAGCTCCACTCGCCGCCCTTCCGACGTCCGTAGGCCTTAGATCTGCTCGGTATCCCCCCCTCTGTCTGCAGCACCCAGAGCAGGAGAGAGCTGATGTTCCCTGCAGAAGAGACGAGGGGCTGAAGGATGGGAGGCTCAGCCTCTCTGCTCCAGGGCCGTCCTGACACTCCCCCTGGGTGGACGCTCCACGTTCCCTCTCTTCCCATTAGGTGCCTCTCCTCCCAGACCTGGCTACTCTTTGGTTTCTCACCTTCTCTACTAAAAAGAAAAGATAATTCAATAAATTTTCCTGTCTTTTTGCAAACATATTTTTGGCTCTGGCTTGGTTTCTGAGGGTGGCCCTGGCTGAAACCCAGATTTAGGGCTAGGGGTGAGGTGGGTATAGCTGGGTTGAACCACTAACCCAGAGAAGGACAGGCCTGGGGAGCTGCCCATCTAAGAAGGACACAAAGCACACGGGCCATCTGAGCACCCAGGTGCAATGATGACAAACAAAGAGGACACAGGTAGCTCTCAGATGATGGCACCCAGCAAACTTGGATGAATGGAACACAATAGTGGTCCAGGGGGCACATGGGCCAGCTCGGCAGTCCCACAGTTCTACAGGACGTCCAGTAACAAAGGCATTGGTGGGGTTAGAGGTGAACATGTGATGGGAAATGTGGGAAAGCGTGCAGAGGCTGCAAGGGGCCAGTGAAGGGGCAATTTGAGGGGAAGGAGGCTTAGCTCCAACCTGCTGCCTCCCTGCTTCCTGCAGACAGCGCTGCCTTTCGGCCCATGATTCCACTTTGGCTTGAGGCATCCTGCTGACTTCCTTAAGGTCCTGCCATCCCAAACTGCTCTTACAGAGACAGCTACATGACTGGGGCCCATGTTCAATGAGTGATCTTAGTCCGATCTGACCTTCCTCCTCCCCTTTCTGCATCCCTCTGTTTGTTGTATTGGAGACCACAAGGCTTTTATTCAAAATTGAGAGCAGGATGAAGACCCTCTCCCCTGCACCACCTGGCTGGCAGGGGGCACACTTAGGTGCTCACACATGGTGCCCATCTACCCCGGCATTGACCGTGTGGTCTAAGGGGGCAGGGCTCCTCCTCTCAGGCCAGACCTGGCCTCCAGCTGGAGTACAGGGGAGTAAAGGCAGAGATGAATGAACAAACCGGGGAAATCCCTCTCAGGTGCCATTTGATCATTGTTGTGAGTTTTGAGGCCAGAGGGTAGGTGGAGCTTGGGCACCCTGGCCCTCTGTCTCCTCCTTGGCACTGCCCTCATTCCCACTCCATCCCCTGCAGCCCCCTGTGTGGTTTACTTTCCTCCTTCACTGTCTTCTCTCTCTCGCCCAGCCCCAACCCTTACACTGCCTTCCCTCTCTGTCCCACCCCAGCCTCATCTGTGGGCTATGTGTGGATGACTTATTCACACAGGGTCACCCAGACAAGCCCAGCTCGGCTTGCTAAGTCAGAAGGAAGGTGTCCAACCTCTACTCTTTCTAGATCCCACCCCAGGCCCTGACTACTCCCCCTATTTCCCCTCCCACTACCAAATGAGGTGGGTCTCAGTTTAAGTTCACATGCCCGGAAGGGTACTGGGAACTAAGGCATCACAGAGAAACAGGACGCGCTCCCACTCCTGACACCTCTCAGCCTGTTTTGTTAACCTATTTATTCAGCAGCTATTTATTGGGTGTCACTGTGCACCAGGCACTGCATGGAAACCTGGAGAAAAGGAGACCAATCAAAGCAGCCTGTGTCTGTAAGAAGTCCACAGCTAAGAGGGAGGTGGGAGGAGACACCCACCACGGTACTTGTTATAATTTCAAAGCTCAGCTCCGGTCTTCTCTGATCTTTCCTCTGCTCCCAGTGGAGCCTCTGTGCTGACATTCATCCTGGTGATTACTGGAGGGCCGGGTGCAAAGAGTGCAGGCTCTGGAGCCACTGTGACCTGGTCTGTGAACTTACTCTGTTCATAACCCTTGGCAAGTTACTTCCTTCCTGGGCTTCTCTTCCTCATCTGCTAAGTACTGCTTCCTTTGTGGGTTAATTAAAGTCAAGTGCTCAGAACAGTCCCTGGCATGCAATAGGTGCTTGGTGAAGGATACCTCTGGTCATGACCTGTGAGTCCTTCAGAACAGGGGTGGGTTCCTGGTCATCCTCACCCTCATTCCTAAGATGTTATAGGAGCCCAGCCACTGTGCTAGATGGAGGAATTGGGGAGGGATAGGCCAGGCTATGGGAATGAATTAGGTAAGAAAGCACATCGTATGGAGGGTGTGAGGAACTGAGCCCCTGCCCCAGACTGAGAGAGGGGTCTGTGTCTCCAACGCTGAGCTGCCCTGGCTGGTCCTGGCACCCTGGAGTACAGACACCAGGACTTGCTCCCTAATACCAGCTCAGAAAAGGAAGGGAGCTGCCCTTAAATAGTCCTGGTCTGGATCTCTGGGGGCTCAGTGGGGGTGAGGGTGGTTGCCCACACAGAGCAGTGAAAGGAGCTGTACCCGTGGCCCGCAGGGGACTCTGGCTTGGGAGCCTTTCACTTTAGGCCCCAGGGAGGGCATGGAGCAGCTGAAGACCTCTGGCCCCATCAGGAAGCCTGGGGAAGCTGGAGGCTAGGTCAAGGGCAGGCCTTCCTGCCACAGTCAACCCAGGAGTCTCCCTGAGCTGGGAGAGGAAGGTGATTGGCCCAGCTCTGTGGCCTGGGGGATGGGGTGGGGATCCCTTTTGCTGTCTAGGACTCAGTTTTATCTCCTCCTCCTCTTCCTCCTACTCCTTCTCCACCTTCTTCTTCAGAGTCTCACTCTGTTGCTCAGACTAGAGCTGTGGAGTCAGTCAGCTTAGCTCACAGCAACCTCAGACTCCTCGGCTTAAACGATTCTCCTGCCTTGGCCTCCCAGAGTGTTAGGATTTCAGGCATGAGCTTCCCTGTCTGGCCAGCTTTACTTTCTAAATCATCTGCATGGGACAGCCACTGGAGGGAGAGCAGATTTATAAATGCCACTCCACCACGGGGTCGACCTAGGGGCCCCACCCACCCAGGCTCGCTTGCTGGTTCCAAGGGCTGCAGTGGTGAGGAAACAGCCCTGTCCCAGGGCATCTGGCTCACCTCCGTGCCGATGATTATTTGTGAATGAATGCATGTTAGCACCAGAGAGACTGGAATAAAGGGGATAGTGGGAAAGGAGAACTTAGTAATGCACCCAGCACTTCCGCTCTACAAAGCTCCTTTCATCCTTTATTTCATTTCATTTTACAATCTCATGAGTTGGCACTGCTGTGCCCATTTTACATGTGGAAAGACTGAAGCTCAGACTGGTTAAATGACCCACCTCTCATGAAAGCTGGGATCCATGGCTCTAACACAATTTCCCAGACTAAGACTGGTCCTCTGTCAAGGATCAGGGTTCAGCTCCAGGATCTGGGGGAAAAAATGAGACTCCCCTCCCATACCTCAGTGCCCAGGGGACAAAAGGATCAACCATGAGATGTTCCCACCCAGTCATGCCTCAGAGCCAGGCTGGATTCTGGAGGGAGGAGCCTGGCACACAGCAGGTGCCCTATGAAGGTGGAGAGAGATGCATTGCTGCTCAAGTCCTGGCTGCTTCTGCCACCTGCTTCTGGTCCTGAGTAGCAGTCTCCTCCTTCTCTGCCAGGTCCTGCCCAGTGAATGGGCTGGTGCCCTTCTGCCTTCCTTAATAAGGTGTCTGTCCTGCCTGGGCCCTGCAGGGGGCAGGCTCACTCCAGAAAGCAGGTCTGTGCCTCTTTGGCCACCTGCTGGGACACTGGGTGTGGGGCAGCAGGGTCCCAGACCCAGTCTTGCACAGGCCTGGTTCCAGCATCAGGCCCTGTCCAGTCCCCAGTATTGAACTGGGCAGCTGGGTATTTGCTATCAGGGTGTGGCTGGGGGCAGAGTTCCTGGCTGGAGGCCCCTTTGGTGCTTGTTGTCCCTTTGTTTTGGTCCTCTTTTTAGGACTCACAGAAGACCTAGTGTATGAGATGAGAGGCCCCAGGCCTTCTTAGCAAGGGGACTCCCACTGTCCTGGCCAAG